TGTGGACGACCTAGACATCCCTATTGCTCAACGAAAGGGAGTCAGGTCTTGCACTACCAAACACCCCATTACCCACTTTGTTTCCTATGACCACATCTTTCCCTCGTACCGAGCCTTCCTATCGGCAATTGACTGCATCCCTGTTCCCAAAATTGTTACAGAAGCCTTAAAATACCCTAAGTGGATAGATGCCATGAAGGAGGAGATTGATGCCCTCCACAAAAATCAGACTTGAATTGGTGGATCCTCCAGAGGGGAAAGAACCCGTGGGGTGCAAATGGGTGTTCATAGTTAAGCACAAGGCAGATGGAACAGTTGAAAGGTACAAAGCAAGACTGATAGCCAAAGGGTACACACAGGAGGTATATGGAGTTGACTATGATGAGACTTTTGCCCCAGTGGCTAAGATGAACTCGATTAGGGTTCTCCTATCCTTAGCTGCTAACTTTGACTGGGAATTGCATCAACTGAACATAAAGAATGCCTTCCTGAATGGTGACTTGGAAGAAGAGGTATACRTGGTTCAACCTCCTGGATTCTCTGCCAAGGGAAGTGAAAACAAGGTGTGTAAGCTACGGAAGTCTCTCTACGGCTTAAAACAGTCTCCCAGAGCCTGGTTYAGTAAGTTTCACATGGCAGTTCAAGAGATGGGGTTCCAACAGTGCCAGTCTGATCATACACTTCTTGTGAAGAGATATCAGGAGCAGGTTGCCGTATTGATAGTGTATGTAGACGATATCATCATTRCARGGAGYTRGAGTTCRGAGATACAGAAATTGAAACAATTCCTTGCATCCAAATTTGAAGTGAAAGATCTAGGACTCCTAAAGTATTTCCTTGGGATTGAAGTTGCCCGTTCAAAATAGGGTATCTTTGTCTCCCAAAGGAAATACACCCTTGATCTATTACAGGATACAGGTAAATTAGGTGCAAGGCCGGCAGACACTCCTATGGATGCGAACCACAAGCTAGGTGACTGTATTGGTGAACCTCTGAAAGATGTAAAGCAGTTCCAAAGGTTAGTGGGAAAGTTGATTTATCTATCCATGACCCGTCCAGATATTGCCTATTCAGTTGGAGTTTTGAGCCAGCTTATGCACTCTCCTAAGAAGCCACACATGGAGGCAGCAGAGAGAGTCCTTAGATACCTGAAAAAACATCCAAGAACAGGCCTACTATTCAGTAAACACAATCACCTAAAGGTGGAAGTCTTTACAGATGCTGATTGGGCAGGAGCCGTGGATGATAGAAAGTCCACTAGTGGGTATTACACACTTGTAGGAGGAAATCTGGTGACCTGGAAGAGCAAGAAGCAAAGTGTGGTAGCAAGATCGAGTGC